CAAACCTTACTCCAATCCTATGCAATTAAATCGGTTTACCAAAGGACATTTTTCTTGGTGTGAAGATAACGTTTACAGACACGTGGCTCTTTCAATGGTATCCGTCAATGGATATTCAAAGCTATGTATTCTCAAATGCTTCACGAAAACATTGTGAAAAATTCGGCGATGAAATGATTGTAAGGATCAAAACTGAAGAAAAAATAGAAAATAGAATTGAAACATCTATCTTTTCTTCTACAGCTGGCAGGAAAGACGCACAAAACTACGGACTGCGCAAACTGTTGGGAGTCATGGAATGAAGACTCGATCCAGTCGCCCATCTGCCAGTACAAGACCCTAAACTGGTTGAAACTATTATATGTCTTGGATAATAAAAGGCCAAGGAAAGCTGAAGTCGAAAATAAAAATATTTAATATATTGTAGAGACCTTAAATATATGTTGAATGTGAAATCGCAGAGAAAAAGACTGAAGAACTAGAGCCGCACTGCTCAAGTTTTTTTTATATACTGAGTATGGGCTCGTTTGTGAAATAAGAAACTTAATATCAACGGGTTCGCAAAGGTAGTTTTTTTTTTACTTGCCATTTCTCCACTCAAGCACAATTAGTCTTGTTCATAAATTCCTTTTTGGATATGATGACCGAGTCAATTGGGAGGGATACAAAGTTTGTCTGCCTTTTCACATAAATTTGAATAGGAAATGAAGTCCTTTTTGTGTCACAATAATGCTTTCTGAAAAGGCTTTAACCTCAAAAGATTTGTAATATTTCAAAAAGCCATTTAAGAGTTCAGAAGTAATTTACAAAAGGCGCTTAATTTTTTTTTATTGAAAAAGTAAACCCAAAAAATGTCAGCTTAGTGTAGACTGCAGCTTGATTTCCAGATCAACCAAAACGGGATGCGTCTTATTCGAACGCTTTTTTTTGTACCTGAAACCTCTAAATTACAATTTAATGCTTTCGCATAAATCTCACAGCTTAACACCTGACATAACCAGCTATAACGTTCTAATGACTAAGGCTTTTAGAGGTTTCAGGTAACTTTTTGAAAAAAAGATATATCTTTGGCATGGAAAAGACGAAAAGGACGGAACTTAAAACTGTTGTCTCTCTGACCGACACTAAGCGTCAGAAAAGGGGGCGGGGGTGGAGAGTTTTTTCCCCCTCCCCTTCCTGCGTCTTTAATTTTCAAATAGAATCAAGAATTTTAAGTCTCGTTGCTTTCAAACCTTTATAACATCAAAAATTTCTACCCGCTGGATCAATAACGCAAATCATAGGCAAAACGACAAACTTGTGTAAGGTGAATTCAGTCTGGCAACTTCATTTATTTGTTATGAAAATGTATAGTACCTGTTAGAAGTGATTTGCGATGGACCTCTGTCGAACGGAAGATGGTTGGTATTTCCAAACTTCGCAGTGTTTATCTTTGTTTGTCTATAATTTTGTAAATGTTTGGAGCTTGTAGTATAGGTTTATAGTACACATATGCTTAGGTTTGATTTATTGTCAGTCAAAACAATAGTCAGTTTAGTTTTTAAGAAAATACCTTCAGTATTTAGGACATGGAAGAATTGTGAATTTGTATGTAAGAATAAATTAAACTATTTTGTTCTGAAAGTTTCAATTTTGAGAGACTTTGCTGTTTAATAAATTTTTTGTCATTAATAATAATTGTTTGATTCATGTATATTGTGATAATTTTTCACGCAAACTGATTGGGAAGCTCTCAGTGAGTCATGGGCTTTAGATCTAATTCCACTTTCAAAGATGTCCCTTATCCGGGAGTCACTTTCCTCCGCGGCCCCCACTCCCCCGTAAAAAAGGGAGTTCCCAGGGAGGAAAATTAGCTAGCGGAAAGACGAATATAATAACGACCGTATTCAGGGCGTCTGCTTTTCAATTAGTTCGCACTTGTAATCATTCAATGCAGGTAACTAACAAGGTAAGAGTAAAAATTAACAGTTGCTGTCTTCCTTAGGCTATGTTCACTATACCGTATAGCTTTTGCACCGACAAGAAAACCAAACCGAAAAGCAGGGCTTCTTCTGTTCTGGTGACTTCGGCGCGATTTGTTTAACTGGGCGAAGCCGCGCCGCGCCGACCTCTAAAGTGGACAGTCACAAAACGGATAGGAAATCGTACTTGAGATCTATACAGCATAGCTTTTCTCGGTGGGTACGAAAAAGTTGTTCGGTGTAGTGTGAGCAATTAGCCTTAACGGGGGATTACAGTTGAATTTTCGGGGAATTGGGGTTGAATTGAGAATGAAAGAAATAAGGATAGAAGAGGGTATACACGTAAACCAGTTTGTCTGCTAATTGGCTCAGGGCCACCTTGTTGTGGTGGCGGACTCTCTGGTCTTTTGTATATTAATTATTCATTTCAAATTTTAATTTTTAACTACCCTTCAATCCAATATTTTCTCATTTTACCATAACTTTTAACATTTACACTTCAAACTTTTATTGATTACAAATATTCTAATAATCACCAAAAAATTCTCAAAAACTCATCGTTTCAAGAACTTCCGGATGAGTGACTTATTCTTAAAATCGAATGACATTTTGACGAGCTAGATTTTCAAGGAAAAGTGCCCAACTATAATACAAACAGGCGTTTAACTGTAACCCCCCCCCTTAAGATATTACAGTTGTGGAGTTGCGTTCAATCTCACTATTACTACTACTCTTTTACTCACTATTATTGCTAATCTTTTGTGTCTTCAGCCAATCAGAAACCATTTGTAATTTGCACTCGTGTTGCAGACGAACTGCACTCCTTTCTTAGCCAATCAGAATTGAGTAATTTTTCGTGTATATTATTATGACTGTAAGTCGCCGTCTTGGGTCGAAAAAAAAAGCCGTGCTAAAGTGGATAGAAGTTAAAATGGTTCTTTATGACACCATATTTCTGGTTGGATTTGCAACATTCCAGTGATGTACTTCCTTCTTTCATGGAGGACAAATGACACGTTCAAAAGTAAAGTTCGTTAATTTTTGCAGTCGTGTGCAAAAAGTTAATTGACTCGCGAGATGTGCACGCGCGCTTGGTAAAAGATGACCGCTCACATATTGCACTGGAAAAATTAGCGGTTGATCCTGAAGGGAGAAAATATTCTGGATTAAAAGATGTTCTTCGTCTCCTGGTGCTATTGGAAGTCCCTTTTTACTAATTTTACCCCAACACCACAACGTGCGCAGCTACTGGAGGTAGGTAAGAACACAAACTAAAATTTTCAACTTATTTGAACAAACTGATATCTTTAACAGCGCACGTTCGACACTGAGACTGATTAACATTAAGTTTTGATTAAAAGGTCCTTCGGCGAAAAAAAAATAACTACCAAGGGAAAATTTGCAAGTAGTGTTTTTCCCCAAAAATGTGTGGTCGCACGATCTATCATGCCAAAGCCTAAAAGCGGGGGAAAAATTCAAAAGCACTGTGCGGCATGGACTAAGCAGAGTCAGCGGAAGATGTGTCTTAATCCTCGGGTGTTGTTGGGAACTTGTATTTGTTATACGTCGGTAACGAAAAACATCTTTATTTTTAACGACTCTACTGCTGTTCAGTGATGACGAAGAAAAAAGAATCACGCGCGCTGCGTTTGTTCCACATTCCATAAGTGATGCGATAATGATTATGACCTATCAATGGAAGTTTCAAACTTTCTTGCAAAGTTGCAGCATGGTGTTTGCTTCTTTTTGGGTCGGCTATATAGCTACGTATAAACTTTGGAGATTCTGTTTTCATTCAAGGGTGCCTACAGCAGTTAAAGTGATACCTCAACAAAGGTAGGTTAGGTTTTTTTACCTTTTATTTCAGCTACAGAAAAGTGTGTTTGTGCCGGATGCCTTGTCAAGCTTTAGCAAAAGGATGCAAGAAAATTTAACCACCAACTGAAACTGATTGTTCTTCTCAGATTTTTTCTTTTTTATTTAGGAAAAAGATAGACTTAATTTTTTATTATAGTAGGCTTGCTCATGAACTGTTAAGGGATTTTTTTCGTTGAATAACTTTTTTCCATTTCTTAAACGCATTTGGGAAAATTGTTGACAGTCGGTTGGTATGGTAACAAGAGATGACGTCACAGCCTAGTCATAATTTGCGCGCGAGCCACCAAAATTGCGTCTTCCGAACTTTAAGCTTGCAAGAGTTTAATTCTTACGGATGGACAATTTTTTGCATTTTGGGGGAACCATTTTAACGATTTCTGATTTTCTCTCGAGGAATCAAATCATTTGTACGCTTCTTAGTTTGATGCATTGAAAATCATTGGGTTTATCGGAGTCAACATATAGTTCATTGAAATTGTGATCAAATTTATCCAAAGGTTTATTTTTTTTGGAGTAAACCCTTTTTGTGGTCCTGAGCGAAATACAACTCGCCAAAAGGTGGCGGTATTCACACGCTTGGTGACATTTCTAGCAGCACACGTTAAAAAAAAATGTAATTCCGGTTCTAAGCGTGTTTGTATCAATAGACCTTTTTACCGATACGGCGGCCACATTGAAATTATTAGATTTTAGGAGTAATATGGGATGCCCAGGGGGCACTCGCTCAGTATTTACGCGCGCTTTTCGGGCAAAAAGAGAACTTCAATGTATATTTCTCTGGAAAAAGGTGATCATTATTTAATCCAAACACAGCACAACGATCTTTTTTTTCCCATTACAATCTTTTTCTAGGAAAACTTAAAGAAAAATTGGCCGGAAAAAGTGCGCGTAAATATGGAGCGAGTATAACGGATCGTGCTCATGCCCCCTGGGCATCCCATAATACTCAAAATTAAACTTTCATTTAGCTGAGAAATTCTTCTTAACACTTTGAATTGAGATTTCGTTTCTCTCTAAACCTCTAATTATTAAAGTGGAAAATGACAAAATCATAACCAACTTTTATGGTTAAGTAAAAAAAAGATATTTATTTATTTACTTTTTTTTAGGATCAAGGACAGCAGATTTAATATACACCAGAAGACAGATCAACCGCAACAAATGGTAATAAGAATGGTTTTACGTAAAAATTAAAAGACAGATTTATAACCTCTGTCTTATAGCTAGTGGATCTGCTGCACATGTGCGAGAAAACTTTGTTTTGAAGCCCCTTTTACCCTTGTCCAGTGGGTAGCGGACAGGTAAACAATTCTGCGGGGACGAGATTAATGATAATTGGTTGAAGGGCTAGAATTTCCTCTAGGTAGATATTAATTGTTATAAGTTTAAGTGTCCTTTTGGCAAATAAAGATAACATAGTAATTTGTTTAGTCAAGAAGCATTTAATACTGGCCTCAGTTGTTCAAACATCGAACAGGGCTATATATCCACCGGACGAATCACTATCCTGGGAATAAGTGTTAGGAAAACTAGTAAAGTTGCCCATTGGATAGAGATTTATCCAGTGGATAGCGTTTTCTAACTTTTTTACAAATGGAGACTGATGATTAAATTCGATAAAAACTATTAAAAATTATCAGAGTTATTAGGTTGCGTCTTTGGGTACTTTGGGTAATGTTGGCTTTTAATTTCACAGGTTCCTACCTTAGCATCTGAAGGCAGTGCAATCGAAGTACAAAGTGTGAGTGGCGCCCCCGAGGTACTCATACAAAAAGAACTTCTAAATGTGATGGCTGAGGACTTGGCAGCTAAAGTAATAAGCAGCAGTTTAAGAGAGGTTGCTGAAATCGATTTACAAGAAGAGGTTGTCTCTGTTGTCGCACATGAGGTCGGTGAAGCGAAAAAGGAAAACAGCGCTGTTAAATTTGTACCCGACTTTGCAATCGAGTTAGAAAGTGTACGTGGGGCAACTGAGGTACTCGTACGAGGCGAAATCCTAAATGTGATTGCTGATGACTTGGCAGCGGAAGCAATAACCAACAGTTTAAGAGAATTGGAAAGCGCCTCGGTTGAAGACATTGCATCTGAAGCAGAAAAAACAGAAAAATCTGAAGCGGAAAATGTAACTGCAGTCACTGAGATCCATTCACAGGAAGAGGTTGTCTCTGTTGTCGCACATGAGGTCGGTGAAGTGAAAAAGAAAAACAGCGCTGTAAAATTAGTTTCCGACTTTGCAATAGAGTTAGAAAGTGTACGTGGGGCGACTGGGGTACTCGTACAAGAGGAACTTCTAAATGTGATCGCTAAAGACTTGGCAGTGGAAGTAATTAGAAGCAGTTTAAGAGAATTGGAAAGCGCCTCTTTGGTTGAAGACATTGCATCTGAGGCAGAGAAAATAATCCCAGGGGTCACCTACGAATTGACTGATAATGTGATCGAGCTTGAATCTGAAGATCCTGAGGTGCATGAAAGTGCCAAAAAAACCTTGAGTGACGTCCCAAGTGAGGATGACAAGCTAAGCAACAAAGCCTATGAGTGCACATTAGAATGGGAAACCGTCAGTGCAATTCAACCAGAAATTGCAGTGGAGTTTGAAAATGTAACTGCAGTCACTGAGATGTGTTTACAACAAGAGGTTGTCCCTGTTATCGCACACGAGGTCAGTGAAGCGAAAAAGAAAAACAGCGCTGTTAAATTAGTACCCGACTTTGCAATCGAGTTAGAAAGTGTACGTGGGGCGACTGAGGTACAAGTACAAGAAGAACTTCTAAATGTGATCGCTGAAGACTTGGCAGCTGAAGCAATTACAAGCAGTTTAAGAGAATTGGAAAGCCTCGCTTTGGCTGAAGACATTGCGTCTGAGGCAGAAACAATCCAGGCCGTCGTCTGCGAATTGACTGATAGTGTGATCGAGCTTGAGTCTGAGGATGTAGTACTGGATGAGGTCAGTCAAACCTCGGTTGATATTCTTGTTGACAAACTCAGCGGTACAGTGGAGGGGAGTGAGTGCATGTTAGAATGCGAAACCGTCGGTTTAATTGAGCCAGAAGTTGCGGCCGAGTTTGAGGGTGTAACTGAGGTTCCTGACATTCTCGTGCAAGAAAAAATCATCTCCAGTGTCGTCCATGAGTCGAGCACCGCAGAAGTGAAACCTGACCTTTCGTTCGAGCCACAAAGTGTTACAGCGGCCATTGATTTTCCTCTCGAGCAGCGAAATTCCACAAGAATTACTCGAGAGTCCGTTTTAACAAAAAGTGAGAGTGCGCGCGAGTTTTTCCCAGAATGTTCGCTCCTGATGGAATATGGCAGTGATGTTTCCGTGATCTCCAATGAAGTTGCAGCTGCAGAAGTAAAAACATCCTGTACGTTCTGGCCTGAAAGTTCATTGGACTTGGAGAGTGTAAGTGAGGTCGTTCAATCTTCTTTAGAAATAGACACTGTGACTGATCACTCATGACTCACTCGTATTGGGCTGCAGGCCGACCGTTCAAATATTGTTTAGTGGTCGCTTGATGGTAAAGAGATCCTCTTGTACAATGTAAATTAAAAAGATCTGTCTGGACTCTAAAGTGCCAATTTAGCCTTGCAGAAAAAGGTCTGATTCATGCCTCTCTTGGAGCCATTTGAGTATAATCAAGGCCACGTTTGGTCTCTTTCCAAACTATGAATATGCAGCTTTAAATTTGCACAAATACATACAAACAAGCCACAACCACCCATGTATCATGTTTAAAATTTGTTCTAGGAACTACTTTGTTTTAATATGCATTTTTTTTGCCTTCAGGTTGAAATGTGTGCAGCTGAATGCTCAGATCCCAACGATGATATTATTGGAAAGAAGACCATGCCAAACAGAGAATTTGAACTAAGATGGTAAGACTTTCCCTTAGCAGAAAGCCAATAGGGAGTGATCGATTTCTTGATTCCCCACAATCTTAATCCCGGTAAAGTTCAAGATTACGGTACAAAGTATTTTGAAGTAAGTGCACTGAAATAATGTGCTGAGTTTAAGCTTCTTTTTGTTTGGCTTCGGTTGAAACGTATTTAGACAAGGTGGAATTGAACCGATCTTTGTAGCCTTTGTTTGTTGTCTTCTTTATTCCAGCAATGCAGCGCAAGTTAGATGTCAACATGTTTTTAAAACGTTGTTGGAATTTATCTTGTGCTGCGTTGCTGGCTTCAGCGTTTTAACTGCATGACGGATTTCAAACAGAAGATTTCAGCAGACTGGAACTTGGGTATAAATAACTGTAGTTGCACATGACCAAGGATGGTAATCATGCATGAGATCTTTACAAGGTGTTTCATGATATGGATGTTTAAAATTCTGGTTCTTTGGAAAGAAATACATAAAAAGTTATAGCATATAATAGTCTGTTGACAGGTTCTGTGAATTAGCCTTAGTTTATACTGTAAATAGAGGAAGACAAACAAGACAAATACGCGCTTGAAAGTCGCGAGCTTCCAACTAGGAAGCTGCATGTAAACAGGAGAAAAACTGGAACGTGTTGGTTACCATTACCTGTGGTCTTTTTATATTTCAGCATTGCCGGAAAAGTCGACCAACATGTTTTAAACGTTAAAGCCGTCGAGTTCATCCCACGCTTTTCAACAACTAGCTTTTTTAGAACAGACAAAGTTGCCAAACTGGAGCGCGGGTATGTTTTATATCATCTTTTATTTCCATTGCGCACTGAGGACGTTACTCATATGTGAGAGCTAACTGAGATATTATTTTACAAAAATGTGCGTGTAAACCAAACGAAAAGTTCTTCGGTCCTTTAGGATCTTCCTCCCACCATGTACATGTAAACAGCCGCTCTGAGATTCAAGCCAACGAGTAGGTCACTGAAAAACACTGTACCATGACTCGTTTTCAAAAGCTATCGCTATAAAAAACTTGTCAAGTATCGCACAAGCTCAACTGCAACAAACTGCTTCAGGTTCTCCCTACCAGAACGTAGGCGAATCTGTTAAGCTTTTGGCTGTTTTCCAGCCTCTCTAGCCTAAAGGAGTCCCACAGTGATTCATTTTAGGTCTTCTTCTCTTTTCACACTTGCCTGTGATCATTTAAGTTAGAAAAAACCAATAAAAGTGTAAACTAGAAGCTTGATCACTTCTATTTGAAATCTCGTTGTGAGTATTGCCCAGGCTTTACTTTGCCGTTAATTTGTAAAGCAAACTAGATCTTTTTGTTTATTGTCGCTTGTCGTCTTTTACATTTTTTCAGAATTGCAGGACAAGTTGACCAACACCACCATGTTTTAAACCCTGACGCGGATGAATTCATCCCAGGCTTTCAAGCAACTGGCGCATTTGAAACTAACGTTTTTGTCAAACTGGAGCTTGGGTATAAATCATACTTTGCATTTCTATTGCGCATTTATTTATATAGGACGTTAACTATTTATGAGAACTAACTGGGTAATGTTAGGTATAGATGATAGTCCACGGGTCCTTTTGAGAAGCATCATAACTTCAAAGCATATTAACTTGGCTCACTTGTAGTGAGTCTTGGCCTGTCTTTCTTTGACTTTAAACGTAACAGGACTCTAGGAAAACTGGAACGTGTTGGTTATCGTTGCCTGTCGTCTTTTTTATATATTTCAGCATTGCTGGACAGGGCGACCAACGTCATATATTGAACCCTAACGCCGATACATTTATTCCACGCTTTCAAGCAGCGGGGGGAATTCAAACAGACGATTTTGGCACACCAGAGTTTGGGTATGTATTTTGTTTAATTTGTATTGTGCACTTAGGAAGCTTATAATTTATGAGAACTAATTGGATTATTGTATGGAATGTAATTATGCAGGTATTCTGGCCCTTTGAGAGGAAATTTTGTCAGAGATACTCATAGTCTGCTGACGTGGTCTTGTGACTTAGGTTCTGTTAATGTGGAAGAATCGAAGGAAGACAAATCAAGCGAGAAGAATATGCGCCTGAGTAACGTTCGTTAGTTTCCCTCTAGAATGATGTCAAGTACACAACACAAATGAGAAGTAATTCCGCCTCCTAGGATCTTCTTCTAGTCCACTGCGTTTCACCCAGTTTTTATAGCAACATGAACATGCCCAGTAAAACAAGCGACAGCGCCTCGGTGAAACGCTCAAATTTGGAATTGATGTAGCTGACAATCGCCAGGTTAACTAATCTCTGTCAGTTTTTCCCTACAGAATTAGTGGAGGAAGGCATTCTTTGAACGTTTTTGCGAAGGACTTTGTCCCTGCCGACTTTCAGGTTAGTATACCAGTCTTCATAAATGATATGACCTTATCAGCAAAAGACATTCCAAGAAATTTTTCGAAATTTTCTTCTTTTTGGCTCAGAAAAACCATTAGAGCAGCTCTCTGGAGATTCCGTCACCAACGCATCATCTCTCTTTTTAAAAAGAACAATACCGTTTGACTGGCTGTACATCCTGCAATAGTTTTTTTTAAGTATGCTAATTTCTACATTGAAAGACATTACAGCCACGAGAACATAGGTATTTTTTCTTTTCTTCGTTAAAAACGAACAAAACAACAGCCTAAAAGTACTTGCACCTCCACCAGGATCACGTAACGGTTGTTTGTCGTAACAATAAACCGAGTATCTTTATTCATGCTACTAACTGAATATGATAAAGGAATTTTTTAATAACTGAAAATTTACCACGACAAGATGATAACGAAAAAGGTTTTTTTTTTCATGTTAGTACTCCCAAGAAAAATAATTTCGAACGAACACCCTGCCAATATCGACCGGATCCTACTTATTATATTCTCCATTCTAATCTTTTGTGATTACAGAACAGAGCTAGTGCCTCCATGATTGCTCCGCCTGAGTACGATGTGGTCCCCATAGCAGCTCCATTCCTGCCACACCCTGTCAGACCACGACGTCGAGACAGACGTCAGAATAATCCACCTGTGTTAAATCATCCCCAGAATCTTCAGGCTAGATCAAATAAGTAGTCTCTTACAAATTGAACGTTTGTGACTCCAGCGACTTTATTCTTGACAAATGGATCCAATGGTTAGACTCCAAACTTTCACTATATCTCTCACGAATAGAAAACTGGTAATGCCAATGGAGTGTATCCGTGACTAGTAGATCGATGGGAGTTTTAATTTTGTATGTTTATGATTTCTTGCACATCTATGTCACTAAGTAAAAAACAGAGTAAAGTTTGCACTTGTAAAAGACATGCTGTTTATTTGCATGCATCATTCAAAATATTAAAGCCGTAAGTGTCAGGGGCACCCAACGGGAAATTTTGAGAAAAAGACCTAAAAACAACAACAAAGCGTGAATAAAGTTTTCTGAGACTATTTTAAGCATTTTGGGAGATTGCTGGAAAAAAAATTATCTGTTCCTCACTCCCAGCAAGACTGATGGAAGAGTTCCCAGCCAGCAACCTTACAACCTGCAAGCTGACTTACCGGGAAGTTTCATAGGGCACAATTCAGATCTTGAGTGGTAAGTAACCCATACAAGTAACCCGTAGCAGGTATTCTAGACTTCAAATCCCCTCTGACACCCTGAATTATCTTTTTCCCAGCAACACTTTCCTTCCAAGGACTATTATTTCTTTCACATCTCCCAGCCAGCAAAAACGTGCCTGAAGAACAGATATTTTGAGGAACAGATCCATTGGGTGCCCCTGAAGTGTCACAGCTTACGGACAACAAGTTAATATAAATTCTTTTTTACGCAGTGAGCTCTGCCTTCTTTGACCCTCATCAAGCTCAACCGTTATTTTTTATGGGACCAAGTCCATCTAACAGGTTTGTTCACTCTTATTTCAAATCGTCACCATCCTGTCATTATCATCGTATCATTACCATCATTTTCATTATCAGTATTATCGTCATTTTCATCATCATCATCATCATCATAACTATCTTTATCATTAACGTTATTTGTATTGTTATCTTCGTCATCATCGTCATCATTATATCATCATTGTCTTTTGCATCATTATCATTGTCGTCACCATCTTCATTAGGGACCTTAAGCAACGACAACGACGACGGCAGTGAAAACGTCGCTAAAAAAACGAATTTGCGTTCTATCAAACTTAATCGCGTCTATTTGGACCCCCACGATGTGTGAAATGCATGCGACTTTTCCTGGAGCTGAATTCTTAAGGATTTTATGCAAGTTCAAAAAGGGGAAGGAAAATTCGTCGTCGTATGTCCACGTCTTCCATAAAACGTCAAATTAGGAGGTTTCACGTCATAGTCGTACAGTGGGAAAAAGCGTGATGCACGAGCAGAGCTGTTGTTTTGATCATTAAACCTATTGTTTTATGAAGTTGTCGTTATCGTCGTCGTAGTAGTAGTAGTTGCTTAAGCTCCCTACTATCTTTATCATTACCTTCATCGATATCTTTATCATCGTCATCATTATCATCACCACTATCCTTAACCAAGAGCCATAATGGCTCTTGCCTCACCCTTATCGTCATTTTCATCGTCACCGTCTTTCCCACCATAATCGTCACTGATACCATTACATATTAGTTAAAAAAATTGTTTTTTTTTTAAATTTTCAATTGTTTATCATTTCCTCGCGAGGAATCCGTATCATTCCTTTTGTGATTTTTCCGAAACTCCTTCAGCCCTCTCCACTTATATTATTTACATTATGGAAATACTAGGAGCAACAGGGTTTCGTCCAGATCCATGCAACAACGTTTTTACAGGCCAGTTTATTTGAGATCTATTTACCAGTGGATTTTAACTATCAAATAGATCTTAAAAATGCGTTATTGATTTAATGGTGACCAGAAAATAGTCTCTCTAAATGATTTTGACGACATCTGCTTCACTTCTTCTCACACACAGATAGTACTAAGCGTTGCTTCCTTTTTCGGGGGAAAATAACTTTGCTTGAAATGGTGCTAAAAGTACACTTAACTGGAAATTACCTAAGGCTAAGGAAGGGCAGTTGCTAGTCTATCTGGGTTACTAGAATACAATACTTTCTTTATACGTACGTTACTGAAAGTATTTTTTTAAATGACTTGTTTTCTTTCTTTTTATGTGTTCAACAGGTACTACTCAGGCTGAAGCTTCGGAGCGTAGAGTGACTACTTCAAGAATTTTTGTTCTGTGAACCTAAATGTGATTAATATAAAGTTGTAATTATTTTTGTGCTTTTTCAAGTTATATATTAAAGAGACTGATTAAACATTTTCTTGTTTCGCATCATGTTTTCATTTTACATCAAATTAGACTTTTAGGCGTGGTTCCCACTAGCGTTACTTTTAACAACGATCGCAGTGTTAAACAAAATGTAGCAAAATGTATCCGAGGCAACATGATGAACATAAGAAAATTATCGGTCTTTCGTAGGATAATGAGAAAATATCAGTCATTTTCTTATAGCTTATAATTTTCAGCTTCAAGTACTAGGGACATCAATAAACCACAGAAACATGCTCTCTTTGTGACTATGATCAATGTGGGACTTGTCACTATGAAAAAAAAATCCAAATTCGAGACTTGATGAGCAACATTCTTCTACTCTAGAAAGGCTTGAAGTCAAAAACAAACTATAAATGAAAGAATTTAAAATGCTATCTATAACCAATATTAAATAGTCTAGCTATAATGATATAGAAAGGCTTGATTTCTAACAAAAGCATAACCAAACGTTATATCATGGCCTTTCAAAAGCCAAAAACAAACTATGAAAAATTGTTGTGGCTAAAATCATGAGTTAACTCCTTTGGAAAACCCTAATTTCGAGCAATTTCGAGACTATAAAAGATCGATATTTTTATGGTCTGAAAAGCGTTTTCCTTAATGTCGAAATTTGAACAAAAATTATGTTTTGGCCTTTTACAGCTAAAAAAAAAACTGAAAAAGTTTACATTTTTTGGCCAAAATCATGGGTCAACCCCTTTGAAAAAATTTCAATTTCACCATTTATACTGTGTTTGGTTTTAAAATGTACTAAAATAGTGTCTGGTGATGTTCTGGATAGAGAAAAAAACGTTTTCAGACTATTAAAAGACATATAGCTTATAAAGTTGCAAAACTGGATTTTTCGAAACGGGTTTTCCCATGTTTTTGGCAAAAGAATCGTAATTTTATCATAGCTTGTTTTTCGCTCACAGCTTTAATATAAAATGTCATAAAATAGTGTTTGTTGATGTTCTAGATGGACAAAAAGCCTTTTTAGACCAAAAAAAAATATAGACCTTATTATATAGTCGATAAATTAGTTTTTTGCAAAGAGGCTGACACAAGAAAATTGAAAAAAATGGGATTTTCCCTAAGGGGTTAACCCATAATTTAGGCCACAAAAATCATAGTTTGTCTTAGTCTTTAAAATGTCATAAAAAGTGTTTGGTGATCTTCTGGATAGACGAAAAGTCCTTTTAGACTAAAAAAGTATCAAACTTTACAGTCGATAAATTGAATTTTTCCAAACTGGTTAAACCATGATTTTGGCCAAAACAATTAAAATTTTTTCATATCTTGTTTTATATTGTTGCAAATTTGGATTTTTCTAAAGGGGATAACACATGATTTTGGCTGAAAAATGAAAATTTAGTTCAAAAATTGAAATTTCTTCATTTTTTGGTTTTAAGCAAAATAGCCAAAACAAGGTGTCTTGTGACCTTCTACATAGAAAAGAGTCTTTGTAGACTATAAAAACATCGGTTTTAAAAATCAAAAAAGTCCGCGAAAAATCTAGGATTAAATTATCTGCAAAAACCGTGGACGAAGATCCTGCTAGTTGTAAACGTTGGATCTCTAGAAAAGAGATCAAATCAGCCAAAATATAAAGAACCAAGAACAAGAAGTCCACAGACTACTGCAAAGCTGATTCAAAACAACGTATATTGTTTTTTATAACATCTGTAAACCTGAAGAAGGCTGGTATGGCCAGCCGAAATATTGTTATAAAAAACAGTTTACATTGTTTTAAATCAGCTTTGCAGTAGTCTTTGGACTTCTTGTTCTTGGTTCGCGAAAAAATCTGTATTTTCAGAAAGGGGTTGGTCCATGGTTTTGGTCAAAAAAAAATTAAATTTCTTTCATTTTTTGGTCACAAGGAAAATGAACCGAAAAGAAGTGTTTTGTGGCCTTCTAGATAGAAAATTAGCCTTTCTAACATTTGTATAAACCGAAAAGAAGTGTTTTTTAGTCTTCTAGATAGAAAACTAGCCTTTGTAGACTATAACAGCATCGATTCAAAAAAGTCGAGAAATGGCTTTTTGCCAAAGGGGTTAGTAAATGGTTTTGGTCAAAAATTGGACATTTCTTCATTTTTTTAAAATAAAGTCTTTCGCGATTTTGAAACGGAAAGCTACCTCAGTCCAAGATGGAAAGGGTGCCTGAGGTCAGACTGAAGAATAATATGAGCTGCTTATTGCACATTCTAAGAATGAATCAATAATTGTTTTAGGTTTTTTACTATTAAGTTGCAGCAAGAGCCATAATAGGACATGGCTCTTGGTTGCACGTTAGTGTTCATTTTTGCCACTTTACTTTTATGAATCCCATCCAGAATTCCCGTTTTCAGTATTTCCCGGAGCCGATTATTCCTCGCAGTCCAAACGATCGACCCACAAGTCATTTCGGCCGTTAGTTGTAAACAACATGGCGCACACCAGGACAATATTAAAGAAGGAATAGTGCTTCATTTCCAGCGCAGGGCACGAATTCCGAAGAACTGAGCCTGTAAAAAGCTAGCTAAACACTGGAATTAACGGATGTTTGATTCAAATGCCTCGTAAAGGTAAAGGATCAAAAGGCATCCTCGGAGTGCCAAAACGGGCAGGGACACAAGTGTTTGCGTTTGGAAGACACGCCGAGCCATTGCCTTCAGACGAAAGCGATGATCCAGACTTCATTCCAGAAGAAGACGAGACATCAACAAACGCTGCAAGCACATCACGTAATGGTTAGTTTTAACTTGAGTTTCTCCGATCCGATCGAGGTCTTTAGCATTCTATTACCGTACAGGGCCGGTTGTTCAAAGCTGGGTTAAGATAACCCAGGGTTAGTGCGAAATTTGAATTCAGATATGAAGGATTAAAAAGAAAATTCAGTTTAATTCTTTTTGTCAACAAGTTGATGATTGGATGCTCTTAGAATGACCGAGAAAATTATCTGAGAAAATACTTTTGAACAAAAGAAAAAGAAACCCGGGTTAAATTTAACCTCGGGTTAAGCACTAATGGACCTTCGAACAACTGGGTCCTGGCGAAAAATAGTGTACGTTGGCTGTTGCGCCGCAAGAACACGCAAGCTACGGCAAAAAGTGACGAACCGATCCGATCAAGGTCTTTTATAGTAGTTTTAGTTATTTTGTTTCATTTCTGAATAGCTTACCTAGAAGAATATTAAGAACAAAAGTGCAAACTTAAAAGGAAGACATAAAAACAAGCAACTAAGTCATCAAATAAACAGAAACAAAATGGCCAAGTTAAATGTTATGGGCTTTTCAATTGGTGTAAAATTGGACGAGGTTGATTAGGGGACGGTTTGAAGTATCTGGGCACAGTTGTCAGGATCAAGGTTCCAAGCCGGAAGTACTTACCAGAATTCCACAGAAGACAGCAGCGCTAGCAAGACTGAAGACCATCTGGAATGATATGCATAATAATCTCTCTTAGCTCAAAGATCAGACTTATGCACTCCCTGGTAATCTCATTGTAACAATGACGCCCGGATGGCCGTGTAATAAACCAGATTTAACTTTAAAAGGAACTACACTTTATTCGGCCGCCATGACACCCGGAAAGCATGGCCCACACAAATATCCATGATCCTTTGCACGTTTACAGTAACCAAGAACTTCCGCTAACACAACTTCCGGTAGACAATAATATCGATACATTACACTCATTACTGTTGTATGCCTGTGAAACCTGGACAATAACAATAGACATCCAGAAGAAATTGCAGGCCACTGAGATGAGATGCTTTAGGAAACTGCTTGACATCATTAACAGGAGCATGCCGGATGCTGGATGGGTTAAGGTTTTTGGGTTTGAAAAATTTGGGGTTTGAAATTTTTGTTTCCCTTATTTTGTTAGGTGGGAGAATTTGGCGGGTATTTTTTGGGTGGCTTGATTTAAGAGGGGTTTTTTGGGGGTATTCAAAAGAATCTGAATATTGGTGGTAGTGCCCGCGTTTACCACCAAACTTGTTTTGCTTTCTGGAAATTTTTAAGGCTTTGGAATTCAAGTTTTTGGGTGTTAATATTTGGTCCAGGGATTTTATTGGGTTTTGTTGGAAGCCCTAGGGATCCCCCCCCCCCTCCCCCGAGGGTTTAGTTGGCACTAAGTATGATCTAACTGTCGCTGCAGGCCAGGATGACAAGGTTTAAATAACCCATTCATCTACATGTATGGCAAAACCCTTCTTGATTTGATTTAACGTTTTTTTTATAACTGGCTCTTGGATTTTAGCCTCCTATGCAGATGTTCTTAGGGCTTCATCAATGTCTGCTGAAATAAGCAGTTAAATTCCTTTCCCTTTGTTTGGCACTAAGTGATTGTTTGATAAAAGGCCAATCATGAGTAGAAAATTAAGTGCTGACAGGCCAAACAGGAGTCACAAGCTCACATAGTGTGATATGGACTATTCCTTTTTATTTAAGATATTAGTGCATGGAAGCTCTTTGATTACATGAAGTATTGAATTTGAAGGATGTTGGAGGTTGGATTTGAACTAGGTACCATTTTCTCATTGAGATGTTCTTAAGGTTATGTAGGCAAAGGCAGGGTGTGACGTGCTAGATGTAAGAGAAATATGCTTTGTTGTAGTAAAGCTGACTTCTGTCAGTAAATTTAACCTCAATTAATGTAATTATTGTTTATGAGATGTTGGGGGTAGTCTCCAGGACAGAGGCATGTTATTCTCATCGGCGAGTTTGGTCTAAGAAATCTACAGGGGCTTTTCCTGGTAGAGGACCTTCTCTGACTTTGCTGACCTTTTCTGGAGTTGCATGCCACAGGTCTTGCCCTAAATTTTTCATTGTTTAAAATGCACTTCCCAGATGTGTAAGTGTGCTGTGATTGGTATACAGTCTGTATTTTATTAACCACTCATTTCAGCAGGCATTTGCCAGGGAGGATTGTGTGACTATAAGCCAAAAGAACATCTATGTGAAAGGTTAATTGAATGCTGGAATATTCACAATAATGTTGTTTCCTTTTTAGTGAAAACCAAGAGAAATAAAGAAGAAGGACATGCTTCAAAAAAGAAAAAGCTTGAAAAAAGGAAAAAAGCAGATCCTAAGAAGAAAGACAAAAAAGGAGCTGAATCTAAGTCTAATCCCCCAGTGCAGCTATCGAAAGGATGGTCAGAGCTTATTCCAGTAGAACTCCTCATGATAATATTTCAGCATGCAATGAAGCAAATTATAGGATCCAAAATACCTTTCTTGTGTAGGTGAGAGTTCAGACATCAACATTATATAATGACTGTAACATGAAAATTTTCCTTACTACTGAATTATTTAATTTTTATTGCCAAATTACATTGTACAACATTCTTCCACTAAAGTTTGACTTCTTCCCTATTGCAAATTTGGGGATCCAGCTAAGGAAATGCTGACCAGGTTTTTTTACTCAAATACACCTTTCATTTACATGGCTCAAAAGAAAATTGAATTTCAGCTTGTCCTTTGAGCAAGCAGCTATCACATTTTGCTTGGTTTGGGCCACTGCTAACTTGTCTTTAGTTAATTATCTTGTTAGAGGATGACTTGCTTGGACTCTTGCCCATTGGCCAAGCAAGCTTTAAAAGTTACTTGTCCAATCAAGAAAATCTACCCGTCCTGGACTACTGGTTGGGACTTCTGGATCATTATATGTTTCAAGGAAACTGCCCACTTACCCCTCCCCTAAGCCAACCCTTTGCCCTAAGTCAGAAGTAAGTGTTAATGTTGGCTTAAGGGAGGAGTAGCAGTCCCGGATCCAGACCTCGAGATAATGCGGGGATGGGGGGCAGTTATCAAGACCTTTAGATAATGGGGCGGTGGAGGGGGGGGGGGGGTTTGGCACAGTCTCCCCCCCAAATTTTTTGGTCCTTTGGGCCTCAGTTTGCTCTAAAAATAAGGGGGGAGGGGGCTGGCCCCCCGGGCCCCTCCCCTTGATCCACCACTGGGTAGGTGGGCAGTTTCCCAGGAATGTATAACAATCTGGACTTTTTCAAGCCCTATCAATTTTATACCATGTCCTTAACCAAGAAAGAAATCTCTTGAAATTAGATTACAGTTCACTGTAAAATTTAAAAAAAGAAATTTGCCTTATACGGCAAGGCCAAAATAGTCAATGTGTATAGCTTTATGTTTCAGGAGAAGTGGGATGTTTTCGTTTGAGAATTTTTGTGGGTGACAAATGCAACCTTTAATGTATATAGACTGACTGATTATGCTCTCAGTTTTGTTTTGTTTGTTTTTCTAATTCTCATTCTAATTACCAGTCTCTGAAATGCTGCCAGTTACAGTAGCAATTATTATTAAAGCATATGTACCAGAAAATTTGGTTCATCTAAATTTTGATCTGTTAAGTTCATAGTATAGCAGGGATGGAAAAAGTTCCATCCAGTAGTCAGGGACAAGTAGATTTTCTTGCTGGGCAAGTATATTTTAAAGCTTACTTGACCAGTGGACACTTTTAAGGCCCAGTCACCAAGTCATCCTCTAACAAAAACATTAACTAGGACAAGCAAGAAGTGGCTCCAGGCGAGAAAAATGTGCAACCTGCTTGTCCAAAGGACCTGAGCTGGAATCCAAGTTTCAAGCTCTGTGTGGACAATACACTTGTCTTTCTTTTTTTCATGATTGTCAGGATGTCAAGGGTTTGTCGCCATTGGAGGCAGGTTGCATCAGAACCAAGGTTATGGAGGACGGTGAATTTGTCAACTTCATATGTGAAAATTTCAGCTTCACCTTCAATTCTGCAACAACTGGCACCTGAACGATTGAAATATGTCAGGCAACTTTTCCTTGGTGGGTGGAGCAAACTGACAGATAAAGGAATAGAAGTATGGTAACATCTGATTTTTAATTTTTTAAACTTATTATTAAAAGTTTTCTCTTTTAATGTCTCTATCAATACTTGGCCAAATTAAGTCACATGTGCCAACTTATACATGTAGCCGCTACATGTAACTCACAGGCATTATGCACATGCCTGCTGATTGAAAACATTGAACACACCCTTATAATACAAGACAATTAAATTGTCTCATTTACTAACTACAGATGTGAAAATTGATGAAGTAGGTGGCATTGCTTATCTTGCCGAGATATGTGTGATCAATAATAATGGCACCTAGATTTGTCGCTCCATACTGCTACATTTGGCAACCTTTGGAAATCACTGTAACATTTATCTTGGAGAATCTTTGGTAATGTTTGGAAGTTGTCAGAACTTTTTCAGCACCGTTCGAAAGTCATTGGAATTTTTTTCGGAAATATGAGTACTATGTATACATTTTTACAGGTCAATTTAATTTCAGGTAAATTTTGATTAGCCTAGGTTGATTTTCAATTTCTTTCATCCTCTAACCCTAGGAGACAAGGGAAATTGAGAATCCAGAATCTAGGTTAAAGAAATTTAACCTGAAATCAAATTTAACCTGTAACATATAATTATCCAAAAATTACATGCATTTGAACTAGGGAAAAACAGTATAATCAGTTGAATTAGGAAAAGAAAAAGTATACTATATTGTTTAACTCAAGGGCTTACTGTTATATGTACTCATATTATTGATTTTCACTGTAGGCTATAGGACAGCACTGTAATGAACTCCAAACCATTGGGCTTTCTGAATGTGAGAGCTTAACTCCTCGGGGTATCACATCACTTGTCACCAAATGTTGCCACTTAACAAGTATTGATGTCAAATCTACAAATGTAAGAAAAATTACAATTGCTTTTCTGCCTGGCCTTTTACCCCTTCTTTCTTAAATGCTGTTGGTCTGTCAGGGTATTTCGCAGAATGTTGAATGGCCATGGTACATGAAATGTCCTCTGTAACACTACTGGGGGTGCATGTACATGTCATTGGGTACATGTAAGTGGAACTTGATGAATTCGGTTCATCCATAATATTAACCATTTTATTTAAATCATTTAGTTTTCAGACGCCCTAGCCCTTCAGTGGCCTTTCAGCATTTTGTAAAATGCCTCTGCCCCGTGGGGTCACTCCTTATAATGGCCTCCGCCCGAAAGGGGTAGCATTTTTTCATCCGTTTAATATTCTATTTGAACCTTTGTTTTAAACTCATTATTATGTGAAATGTAAACCAGGGATAAAATCAAACCACAACATACAAAAGGCAAACAAATCATAGTTTAGCAGTTGGTCAGAGTCACTTTCCAGGCACTATTCCTTTCCATGAATTCCTCTTTTCTACATTTTTTGCCCCGCTCTCCTCTATTGTGAGCTGTTTCCCACTGTCTGAACATCTTGGACACTCATAGCTATAAGGGGTATAGAATTGTAAATTAAGTGTTTCTATCTATTCCCATCCGGAGACTTGACTTCTAAAAAATGCGAGCTGGAGACTCTACCTGCTGAAAATTTCAAGACAATGGTACAAAAAAAGCTAAAATAAAATGACCGAAAATCTGTGCTCATGAACTCTAAAAGACCAAATAGAAAAAAGCAATACATTGTAAATCCATGAGACTCCCTGTGGTGGCATTTGGCATTGAATTTTCATTTTCTTCAGAATGAGAAGTGAGTTACAAAGTAGCGAGTTGAAATTTTGGATGTTAGATCCACTGAAATGCACATAACAAAGTGATACATGCCACTTCATGTTTCTGGACCTTTTTTGGAAACACTCACTCCACAATGTTTATATTGTTGCAGATTGACATCAATTGTCTGAAACATATTGTTAAACAATTAGGAAGTCAGCTGGAGACACTGTGGTTGGCAAATTGCTGTCGTGTTACTGGCACTCATATACTTCCAGTTATTCAGGTATTTTGATGTAAATCCTCATTTAAGCGTCTTCTCAAATAAGTGCCTCTTCCTCTTATCTTTTAATTTTGACTGTGACACTTCATATAGACTGATCCAGTTTGATTTACTTGTTGATTGATTTGATTTGATGTATTAATTGAAATGGAAATTCAAATGCAAAACCTCTAACTTCATGTGCCTGAACTTTCCCACTTTGCATTCTAATATGGAAATTTAAAACCTTCTTCTTCGTTAAATTAAATGAGCACCCCTCTATTTAGGCCTCTCCCCTCCCCCCTCAAATAATTATGCTAGACATAAATAAGACTCCCAGGGGCTTGGATTTGCCATACATGTACTTGCAAATAAACTAAATTACTTTGACATTACAAGTATGTATAAATTCTATTAAAATTATCTTGCATACATGTACATGTAGGTATTTATTCAGTTTTCTGAGTAAGGAAGATGCTATTAAAACATTTAATTTTTCTTTTCAATTTATTTTACAGGAGAATTGTCCAAACTTGATAGACCTTGATGTTAGCGGTACCAACATTCGAAAAATTCACATAGAAAAACTGCAGGTATGCTTCTGTCTTCTGTCTTCCATAGAAACTGTAACACTGTTCAGTCGTATCCTGAGCGGAAAGATGGGGACTGGACCGTTTCATGAAAGTTGATGTGTCTGGAAAGTTGATTGTTGTTTACATTCAAGATTTCTAGAGGTTTGAGTAATTTTGCATATAACATGATTATCAAACTATCAGTAGAATGGGCTGGTTTGTTAGCTTGGAGACATGCTCTTGTTCTTAAGATTTTGATTTGAATGTTCGATTTTGGTCCCAAAAAGTTGGCCCGAGAAACCAGACACAGGGCAGTCAGAGTTATGTTTTATATCTTTTTCAGGAGCCTGTGTAGCTGGTGGGATGTTTTGACAAAAAACAACAGCACTTCCCAGCGATATTTTGTTTACTTGTCTTATTGTGATTAACATGTTAAAAAAAACAACAGACAAACAACTACAACCATTAGCCTTGCAACCAAATAGTCTCCTTCACAGCCACTCGGGCTGGAGTCATGCACGCTGGCGGGGAGCTTGCATGACTCCTGCCTGAGCAACTACAAAGGAGAGTAGCAACCCACCAGATTTTATTCATTGAAGTTTGCCTTAAGCAAAAAGTATCAATGAAAGTGGCTAGTATTCATACCCTTTTCATGTGACCACCATTGCCTTGGGCCATGCAAACAGCTTGTGTTCCTTTATGTTATCAGCTTTTCCTACATGTACATGTAAATCTGGGACCTGGATCTGTTTTCAACTTTTGGGCCATAAAAGTGTATTATGGAGACTCAGAGCTTGAGAACCTTCGCGTGGCACACATTGAAACTTACCGTATGATAACTGATCCTTTCTTTGTGTTTTACAGGCTGGCTGTCCTAAACTAAGACGCCTTATGTTGGCAAATCTGTTACTTAACTCCATACCAAAAACCAATGAAAAGGTACAGTAAACTGATACGTTATGGATAGTAGAGTACATACATTGCTGAGGGGGTCCACTGGCGTACAATTGAATAGAAGCTAGTTTAGACTCAGGAAACCCAACAAATATGCACACTTTGAAAGTTCGGCCAAATGCTCTAAGTTAGTATTTTTTGAGAGCCAGTGTTGGGACTGGCTGATGCTCAAGTCTCATCATTCACCAGTTTAGAAATTTGAAGGAAACTGGTCCGAGTTAGCTTTTGCAAAGACTTCTGGGCTGTTTCTAGGGATGGGGAAAACAGGCAATAGCTGACTGTCGCGTCTCCAGTAACAATCCCAGAGACAACTGTGGGACACAATTCACCTCAGTGAGCTCTAGTGAAGTCCCCTTCTTGTTCTAAAGTGGTGAATGGCCATAGTTTGTTTTGACACACAGAGGTGAGTTTCAAACCGGCTTTGCCTTGTTATCTTCTTTCATCCTTAAATGTTAAAGCCATTTGACATGCAATGCTGTCAACGTTGTTGAACCAGTGCAAGCGTGGCACTTTTCCTTGTTTTTTGAAAATTAACGTGATGAAATATTCATGTTTGCTGAGGGAATGTCTTGGCTTTTATACCACATCGTGCTAGCACAAAGTTCATCTTGCTCTCTGGATCTAACTTTGTCCTTCATTTCCTTTCAGTCAGCAAATGGTTTTCCTGATCTTGAGGTGGTGGACCTTTCTTGTGATTACTATGGACTTGATCGTAGAAATGATCAGCTGTTATACAGGTGAGATAGCAATGACATCTTGTTACTGAGTTCAAACCCGTTAATTAAGTGTGATTATTCCTTAAACCTCCATGTGCAACTCGTAAGCAACCACCTCTCATAAGTGTCCACTTATCCAAAACATCAAAATTTCCCAGTCGCAGCCCTATAATTAGAACCTCTTGTAAATGACCACCTCTCGTAAGCGATTGCGACCACTTTTTGGCCTCACAGTTTTGTAGTCACTGTTTTTCACCCCTTGTTAGCGACCACTTGATGCATTTTGTGGTCTCAGTGTATACAAAGATCATGTGACAGCATATGACTACACTTAGCTTATAAATTGCATGCACTAAATTCTTTGCTAAAAGGACCTCTTTTTGGCAGATGCCTCCTGTGGTTTGATTCTCTTAAGTGACCACTTTCAGTGACCCATCTTTTAGTTGTAGCTTTTTAATGCTTTATTCAAGACTATTAACCCTTTCTCTGCCAAATGTGGCCAAAGGCAAATTTCGAGCAAATTTCCAAATTTCATTTCTAAAATTTTGACAAACAAATGGCACCATGTGAAAGTACAGGCAGAGAGCTTTCATTTGAATGGTCACGTCATAGGATTTCGTCCACAGACTCAAAAGGTAGAGTTACCTTACAAAACTCCGTCAAACACTCTGGCAGTGAAAGGGTTAATTGTGCCAAGTTTGAAAAAATCTGGATATTAGATCCTTTTCAAGGGAATTGATACAACCTTGGTAATCTTGGGGCAACCTCGTTCCCGGGGTGCTCTCCTGCATGTCCCTAAAATAGGAGAGAATCCTGCGAATGAGGTTGATCATGGAGGTTAAAGGGTATCTTTACACTATATCTTTATAACTGTCTCTGGAATGCATTTGTACCTTTTTTGTATGATGCTTATTTCCCTGTAGAATACTGTGGGCATCCAAAGATCTCCGAATGTTGATTCTTGAAGGGCCCAATCTGATTACTGCCGAGGGATTTCGGGTACGTCACTTCCTAATCTCAGTAAAACAAGCCAATGTTGAATTGCTTCTTAAGGTTCGAGTACAAGCTGTAGCCTGAGAAAAAAACTGATAATTAGAGCTTCTCATTGGGCGAAACAAATTTTCATCCAACCAGATCAGTGGCGGATAAGGGGATGGACCCAGTCATCCAGACACTTAGGTAAAGGGCGGGGGGTGGTCGCGGGGTAAAGCGGTCTCCACAATTTTTTTTTGGCTCTTCGGCCTCAGTTTGGTCTAAAAATAAGAGGGCCCAGGCATCTTCCCTGGATCAGCCACCGCAGAGCTCCATTTAAAGTCTCTGTGTAACTCTTTTGTAACCCTTTTCGTCCACTGCTGACTAACGAATACTCTAACGTCTCTAGAATCTGCCAGATTTTCCTTTGAAAATTCTGATATACAACAATGCGTCATATTCTAAAGTCGCTGCTATTGTTGAAAAGGTAAGACAAATTCGTTTTGTTCTCTCCTGTAACAAAATACACTTCATGTCTTGTCCCTCGGGAGACCAGTTAATTTTGTATGGTGTTTACTGAGACAAGTTTCCTAGACCTCAATTAGACTTGTACCCAGTCGCTTCACTGTATGCGCTGTGATTGATGGGAAGGATGTGCTTATTTCGCGGTGCATCAAGGGAAGGAACGAAGAAAAACGCAAAGCGTTGTCACTTTTCCTCCCTCCTTCCCAAGCGCCTTTGCGTGCGTCAAATTGCCTTTACATATTCCTTTGCGAAGAATAAATATAAGTGGCGACTGGGTACGAGTCTGGACCTCGTGAAGTGAAGAATAAGAAGCGAATCAAAACAATTTCAGTACTTATAAGATCACAAAAACCGAACGAGTGATTTATAAAGTACTTCCTCCTTATTGATACCTGCATCTTTTTCGTTTACCAGCTGCTATCCAGCTGCTTCTTGAGTAACTTTAAAAATCGTTTCTATTTTAGCTTGCGGCTCCATGTTTGTGTTGTTGTGTTAGAACTGGCAGTATTTTTTTTCCCGCCTTCTCTCGTCACTGGGCCGAGTTAGCTTGGCAAGGACTTCTGGGATCATTACGGGGGACGCGCCGGTCAGCTATAGAACTTTGTCACACGGCGGCCATTTCGTCTCAGGAAATTAAAAAGGCTTTGTTTTTGTACGGTTAGCCTCGCAGTGAAAATGAGGCTAGTCGTGCAAATACAGAGTTTTTTTCATCTCTCGGGACAAAATGGCCGCCACGTGACAAAGGTCTATTAAAGCTGGTTTTCACTAGCGCCTAAGCATAAGCATAAGTATAAGCACAAGCACATGTGTAAGCAAGTGAAAACTGGGTGGACATAAGCATAGGCACAAGCACAAGAAAAACCACCAGGGTCGTTCTCCTTGTGCTTGTGCTAATGCTTGGAGTGGTTTTCGTTTGAGTGTCCTAAAACCAAAACCAAAGTAATTACTCTGGCCAATCACATAGGACACAGACAATACATTGAACCAATCAAAACTCGAAGTAATTACATGTGGCTGACGCAAAGCGCGGGTGTCACAATTGGCTTTGGTTTTACTTCTGATTGGATGAAAAGGTGGCGCGAATCTTTTAAGCCAATCGCATCGTGTAGAAAGTGCAAAACCAATTACTTTTCGACACTCAAATGAAAACCGCTCTATGTCGTAGCTTTGATTAGTGAAGACGGGTCGACATAAGCATAAGCATAAGCACAAGGCCGTGGACCAATCGTAGGTCACTTTGACCCAGACTTTATGCGAACATATCATAAGCAATATGGCGGACGAAGCGTCCGTCGTCTTGTTTATCATCGGGTTTAGGAGAGCTGGTATCGAGAATTGAGCCAAATATGCCATTCTGCGCGTGCGTATGTCCTTATGCTTATGCTTATGCGCTAGTGGACACCTTGCTTTAAGGACCTTAAGATCCCGAAGACGGGTACGGCAGCGAAAACGTCGCTGAAAGAGTGAATTCGCGTTCTTTCAATCTTCATCGCGATTACTTCAAGTCACTAACTTTGTCAAATGTAGGTGAACCCTCCTAAAGTTGAATCGACCATTTTACAGCTGGGGGTTTAGTATCCTAGCCTTTGGCTGAACGTGAGGCTGGATTGACCTTACTTTGATACAAACCTCTTTCCTTTTCTTATGGAAATTTTGCTATACTAGTTAGCATAAGAGCAATATACACTTAATGTCAGATCGAAGGAAAACATATAGCCAACTGGTTTCCTGAGGGACCTAACATATATTTGTCGACTTTCACTTCAACAGCAACAAAAGAATAACCGGAGCGAATTAAAATAGTCCACTCGGTACTTATAAGAACACAAATTTAATCCTCAAAACCACTGAATGAATGATTTACGTATTACTTTCCTTATATCATCGGCATCTTTTTCCCCTATAGCTGCAGTTTCTTTTCTGGGATAACTTTGAAAATTAATCCTTGAATTCGGTTTCCGTCCTTGAAAAGTACTGGATTTCTTTATTAGGTCTTAAAAAGTCTTTGAAATTCACAACCTTGTCTACGCCAGACACCTTTTTCTGTAAAATTAGATTATTTTACCGTGGAAAATTTGGCTCATCCTCGGTGTAAGAACCTGTAAAACTCACGGGTAACGTAAAAACATTTTTGTGCATGAAGAACATTTTATTTCTGTTTCTGTTTTTCAAGTGCTATTTCTGTACCTCAGATGTAATTGCAAGTCATACCCAATCATTTCGCAAAGTTTCTGACGTGTTTTAGCCAATAGGGTAATCAAAGGGAATTAGAGAATGCCGATTTATTAAATAAATCTTAGTCCTTAAAAACTGTAATTTATCCTTGAAAAATCCTTGGAAAAGTCCTTGAAAGTTGTGCGAACCACGTTTCGGTTATTAAACCTATTGCTTTTTTTACGTTCTCGTTGCCGTCGCCGTTGTCGGATCTTTAAGGTCCCCTATGGCATTTTTTGCCCCTGTTCTCGGTAACATTCCCAGGGGTCTTTGCGCAAGTTAACGCGGCCCAGTTTTCTTCTCGATTTTATCACGATGGGGATTCATATGAATTTGGGTAAGGCCACGTGACCAAGAATCAACCAAGGGTAGTCCTTTTTTAGTTGAGTGAAAGTTTAATATATACATTGTAGCTCCGCCTGGAATATTTTCCCATTCCTGATGATGTTGTTGATCGGCGAAAGCTGGGATGCCAAGTTCATTATTAAAAACAGTAGTTCAAGGCCTCAATTGAACAATATTTTTATTTTCAATCAAGCTGCTGAAGGACAATATCAACATATTTTTAATAATAATATTATAACAATATAAAATATATTATATTACGTGGACTTTGAACACAACTATGCTTTATAGGTAACATCAGTATTTTTATATTTCAGTGGCATCATTGTTTGGAAAGTTTAGATCTTTCTTCTAATAGAGGTGTTGACGACGAATGCATGAAGTTATTGAGTAATTTCGGGATGCAAAAGCTGAAGTCGTTAAATCTGAGCAACACGATTATAACTTCAGATGGTGTGAGGTGAGCGAGATCTTTTTAATACTCGACTTTTAATTACTGTTAACTCAAAACAGGAGCCCATAAGTCGGACAGAACTACCATGTACTTTTGTGGTACGGCGTTTTTACCGACTAATTTATTTTTAGAACAGTTTTGGCTTGAATTTCTAAAGTATATATATTTTAAGTCCCACTCATACTAGGAAGCAAAACCGAGAGACCTAAAAATGATATTTGTTTTATCCTTTCATGACGTTAAGTTTTATTTTTTGGTAGGCGCTGATACAGGGAGCAGACATTCCGCTTTCGCGGGAAAAAGTGCTCTTAAATGTGTTTCTAAAATTGAACCGATCCGTGAAAACGCCGTGACTAAGGCCTAGTATGGGAGTTGCCTACACCGGGTCATGGGTTCCAGCTAAAAATGATTCTCTAAACATTCCATAGCAAAGCAAAATAATACAGTCGTAGATAAAAGTTTTAACCCCGGATCAGCGCCTATCGACCTTCCGGGAACCAAGCTCAGGTGTCTAGAGGCGGGTTAGAAAGCGAAATATTCAGCTATGCGTATCGAACACTCAAAAAATAAAACTTGTTATTTAATCCTCGTCTCGCTGGCTTGATATAGGATCGTGTTTGATGTATTGCCTTTCGGCGTTTCGATATCGGGTGAACCACTCCTCGTGTTCGGTGTATCGCCTCTTGGTGTTTGGTTATCGGATGTAACACTCTTTCTCGTGTTTGACTTATAAATGTGAAACACTCCTTCTCGTGTTTGATATATTGCTTCTCGGTGTTTGGATATCAAATGAAACACTTCCTCTCGTGTTTGATATATTACTTCACAGTGTTTGTTTATCAGATAAAACACTCCTCGTGATTGATATGTTACTTCTCGGTGTTTGGATATCAAATGAAACACTTCCTTTCGTGTTTGATTACTTCTTGACGTTTGGATATCAGATAAAACACTCCTTCTCGTGTTTGGATATCAGATGAAAGACCTCTTATCGTGTTTGATATGTTTCTTCTTGTTGTCTGGATACCACATACAAAAACTCCTTCTCGCGTTTGATGTATTACACTTCTCGGTGTTTGGATATCGGATGCAACACTCCATCTCTTGTTTAATTGTTCGCAATCCTACGAATTCGTCCGATCGGAAGGGGTCCGGAGGAAAATGGTCAGCGTACATTTGCATGCGTCTTGGGTTTTGGGTAGCCTGTGGTGACTCGATCAAGAAAGAAAACAACATGGGCGACAATTTGCTGTCTCTATGATCGATTTTGGTCAAATTTCCGATATTTTAGCGACCTCAGTGACACGCGAACTCAAATAATGGCGACGGAAGACGAAGATCTTTCAGCTTCGGTTATATTTTTGGGGATTTTTCTCGGGAATGGTCGTGTTTTTCGATTAGTTCTGCAGCGAACTAGGAGGCTGAGCATTCAAACAGTTCAACTTTTAAGTGTGTGGTGCTGTCGAGGAATGGTGCTGGATTTATAGGCTTGAAAGGTAACTCGAAGCAAAAGTTGTCATTTTACAAAGAAACATATGCAAATAGCGCCATTTTGTATCGACCGGTCAAAGGTTTTAGCCATTCTTTCATAGTTTTAACGCTGTTTATTCTGCTTGTATGACATTGGATCGATCTTTTATACTCCTGGGCTTTGATATATGTTGCTGTTTAGAGTAATCATGCGGTGATAAACTTTATGAGCAACCATTTTGAGACATATTTTCAGGGCTGTCAACCCCCGACGTATTCAAATATTGAGAATTGATAGGGGAGCGATGGTAGATGACGTCATTACGCACGGCACGTGACGTCATTTGTGCTTAAAATACTCTCCGATCGTCACGAATTTGCGATGACACAAAACGCGCGAAAAAGATGTTTTTGCCTTGTAACCTATGACCTGATTGGTCTACTTCCCACCCAATCACATTATTTTCACGGCATACCGGAGCCGTTTATGAGGAAACGTTCGGTGTTAACATTACAATAGCTCAAACAACGCAAAAGAGTTGAAAATTTATAGTCGGAAAATCGAGTCTACTGAAGAAATGGCAAACTTCGGCGATTATCCGGAAGATTTCATACTCTAATCTGGAGACCGGAAGATACCCTCCTAAATCTGGAGTCTCCCGGGAAAATGACAGCATTGTATGTTTGTCAAGTTTTTATATGTTGAAAATTTCCAAAATACGATTTTTGGTTTTTTGGTACCGAATGCGTGGTGGCTTCAAGGAAAATATCCCCAAACAGTCTAGGTCAATTTTGACATCATACTATTAAGATCGATGCCAAGAAATAAATCCTTTCTTGGTGGTATTTTTAGCGGCCTTTTCTTTCCCAGAAACTTGAGAACGAAAGGGTTAAAAGTACTTGAAATACTTAAGTATTTTTGCGACAGCCATTCCGACATGTGCATTTTCATTCGTTACAGGAATGTTATTAATGGCTGTCCCAATCTAAATGACTTGAATATATCCTCGTGCCGAGGATTACCTCGAGGGGTGAGAAACCATCATGGAGAACTGGGAATTCGCAGTCTTCCATGGAGGATAGCTGAAGAAGAGACTAGCGATTGAAGCGATAAATACCGCAGCTACACTGTATATTAATATTTTTTAGACTTTTCGGTGAAGATGCAATTTTTTAACCATGACAAAATATAGATTTAATGTACATTATTAATACACTGACCAAAACGGGGGAAGAATGGTTCAAACTCTAAGGTGCCGTCCATACTACCTCTGTAACCTGGCTTCAGGGGAGGGAGCAAGGGGGAGAGCAGTGTTGAGAGCACTCGCCTCCCACCAATGTGGCCCGGGTTCGAATCCTGGCGTCGACGCCATATGTGGGTTGAGTTTGTTGTTGGTTCTCTCCCTTGCTCCGAGAGGTTTTTCTGCGGGTACTCCGGTTTTCCCCTCTCCTTGAAAACCAACGCTTTTAAATTCCAATTCGATCTGGAACGCACGGACACGTCTCAACGAGTTCTTTTGAACTCCTTAGTGATCCTTGGGTAAACAAATAACAATTTTAACAACATTTTTTAACCTACGAGCAAGCTCTCCTGTTTGGGCGAGTGAAACAGGTCTCGCGAGAACGCGCGAGGCTCGCTTCGCTTGCTCAAATAGGAGAGCTTGCTCGCAGGCTAAACATTTTTCACAGGTCCGTTTTTGAAATACTTGGGATGAAAAAATTTTAACGCACGGTTTCGGGACAAGCTTCAACATTTTACCCGAAGGGAAAATTTAACCCTCGTTTTTTTTTTAACTTTAAAGTGGCATTCCTATTCCGCCCAAAATCAGATACCGATAGGTAACCGTTTTCAAGGTTTCCTTTTTCACTAGTCCACATGATGTCAGGAAAACTGCATTTCTTAAAGTTTACACTCTGTAGAGTGTTTTTAAAAGGCTGCGTTTTCGAAGAACGTTTTTAACGAATACTTGGGCGAATCCGCAAAAAATACCGTTTACAAAACACCAAAACGTATGAACGGGACCTTGGTCAGGACGCTACTAATCCCTTCAGATCATATTTAACAATTATTCCTCAAGCCCGAATGGGCTCTGTCGGCCGAATGGGCTTTTGACTCAGAGGCCATGAGGGCGAGAGGAATAATTGTTTTAGTAAAATCCAACTAGTTGGTCAAAAATTAAGAGAATAAAAAATTTTAGGTAGTTAAAGCTAGACTTTAACCCTTTTTGGCCGCCAAAAAGCCCGCGCTTTTCGCTACTAGTGGGCTATAACATATAGCCTAGTAGTAGCTCAACCAATTAGAACGTAGCATTGACAATAGACCACTAGTTGGATTTTACTAAAAATTATTATACTTTTCTGCAGTTGTTTTGCAACGTTTATTTCTTTTAGTGTATCAAAAGTAAACAAATTGTACATTGTTATCATCTTTAACGAAAAATAAATACCGTTACACGTTACTTTAAATTTACTGTTACATACATCTTTTACTGTGAAAGGTTTGAACCCAGGAGTCATTTCGAAAGTAGGTTGAGTTTGATCGTCCGGGTGATCGTAGTCCTGAATAGGACTGTTGTTGACAGTGACTGACGTTCCGACAACCAGTCCGGTAGTCATCTTCAGAGTCAAAGTGATTTGTATCACGTCAGTTGATGGTATCATACTCCGGTTATTGATCTGATTTGTCAATTACGTCGCGATGTTATTGGTCGTCTGTCAGTTCCAAGTTGTCAGTCAGTTCCAACACTCAGACCAACTCTGGCCCTGTTACGACAGCGACTATACCGTACATCAGAGGCACCTCTGAAACTATTGGACGTATATTACAACCTTACAATATACGTGTTGCACACAAACGATAACCACTTTACGACGACTGCTTACTAACGTCAAGGACGAAGACAAACCGGGGGAGGGCCAGGGAGCAGTATACAAGATCAAATGCTGCGACTGCCAGGCTTCTGACATTGGTGAAACCGGCAGAAACCTAAGCACGCGACTGACCGAACACAAACGAGCGACGAGGAACGATCACGTCAACAATCACATTGCTGAGCACCATTTAAAGACGAAACATTAAATTGACTGGGACTCTGCGACATGTATAACGTATTCTACAGACTACTATCAACGTCTTACTTTAGAAAGCTGGTTTACTAACTTAGAATAAACGCCACTGAATTGTAGCCAACAGTTACCAGCGCCGTACAAACGACTTATTGACGAGATCAAGCAAAACTAACTACGAGAGAACGACTGGAGAACTGACAATTTGACTAACAATAGACGACTGTTTAACTGTGACAATAGACGGNTAATATTTTTAGCCTTTTCGGTGAAGATGCAATTTTTTACCATGACAAAATGTAGATTTCATGTACATTGTTAATACACTGACGAAAAGGGAGAAGAATGGTTCAAACTCTCAGGTCCCGTCCATACTGCCGCAGTAACCTGGCTCCAGAGGTCCGTTTTCTGCTTTTCTGCAATACATTTTTATCATCTTCAACGAAAAATAAATACCGTTACACGTTGCTTTTAACTAACTATTACATACATCTTTTAGGTATATTTTACTGTTTTTTAACTTTCTATATAAATTTGCATGTATAAGGTTAGTCTTTCAACGCTTGGCGCGAAATTGTCCGGCGATGAGCGCTAACTAAGAAACGGCTGTATTGTAGTTTTGGGTGAAGTCAGATGGGTATTCCCTGTCTTGAATGACTGCAGATAAACACTCTACTAAATTTTCTTCGTATTCGAATGGAATCTTTTGAGTAAAAAGCTTGTTCAGATCTTTCTCCGCCAAAATCCAGCGAAGATCACGAGTAGAAAGCCAGCAATTGTGTCTAATCCAGTTGCCGAAACACTGTCGATTGTCGGTTTCACGAATCCACGCGAACGCGCGCATTATCCACTTATGATTATCGTTGTCATGGTAACCGCCAGGGGTTCCCGGATGACGCTGCAAAGAAGAGAAAAACACTTCATCTGGGATGAAAATATCGGATAACCATTGATAAAAGTCGGTGGCTATTTTATCGTACAAGACAAACTCCACAAATTTCCTTGTTGCTGCAATATGGTTCCATCCTTTCATTATAGTGATGTTATGAGGAGGGGGGGCCTTTGGTTTCCATGTACAATCCATTCTGTAACCATCGTGTTCTTTCCCTTTCCCTGTTTTTGTAAGAGTCCAGATTGTGTTCGCGCGATAGGCAAAGTGCTCCGGCATAGGATAACTCTCTATGTTGTTCAGTCCGTTGAGTTTTTTCAGCCCCTCAACGATGCCTTTGTTGTCATAAAGGGGGTAATCTTGTGCCACCAACGTGATTAAATACTTCCACGGTACATCGCTGTGGAAAAGATCTTCCATGCAGTTCAACTCTGCTTGCAAAACGGACACGTGTCCCCAAACAACGTCTATCAATTTCTTTGTTACGAAAACGTTTGGCAAACAATCAATAAAGGAATGAACGGCACGTTTGAAGTTCTCCGCGGATTTCTTATCCAGATGTAAACAGTAGACATTGTGAGGCATATAAATTGCTCTTAGAAGATTCTCTATAAGTCCAGAACCTTTGTAAGCCACAATTACATAAGCTATTCTCAAGTCCCGCTCAGCCTTCGTAGGTTGAGGATGACAAAAATAGTTTTCTTCAATATCCTTGCATTGTCTATGGTTATGTTTTTCGTAAGTTTCAATTTCGCTGACTTTTACTTTTCTTCCTTTCACAAGGTTGTCATTTGCCTCGACGTTTATGAGGTGCTGGCAATAACTGCTGCTGAACTGAAAAATAAAAATGAAACAAACGTTACAATTGCCAAATGGAATTGATGTTTTTAAATAGTACTCAAACTTCGTTCTCTTCGGCTGTTGTTCCTGCGTGTCAGCTGGTTGGGACGACCGATATGAAAAGCACCGGTGAATAAATAACCAAATAAATAAAATCTAAGGGCCTCCACAGACTAGGCATGGAACTTGGAAACTAAGATTCATTGCACATGCTTGTAATGTACGTTTCAACAGGGAGGCGTGCAAGGGAAGCACTCGCAGTCGAGAAAGTCGATTTTCAAACTCGGGAAAGGAAGATACTCTACATATTACCCGTAATGACGAGGGGCAAAGTGAGGATGGAGAGCCAGGGGAACCGATACTTGTTAAATTTTAAAAGCTCTTGTTTTAAAACTTGCTGTTCACAATAAGCTGTGGCAATAACGGCAAGATTATTATCAACAGGAGCTTTCAATGCCGTGTTGGTATTCGAAAAAGAATATTCTCTTTCATGTAATTGTTTTGCCAAGTGCCTTCGGCCATTTTTGTTTGTAGGAAAGACCACTGACCACTGTCATCGAAGATAAAATCAAATATGATATTGTCGATAAGTAAACTATTTATCCCCACACACCAGAAAAAACGGTCAAAAACGTAGTCATCGACAGCCATTTGTTGTCAACAACTTCGCAGTTTCCCTTTTTGAAAAGGGAAACTGTTTAGTTGTCGACAACTCGCATCACACACTGCTGTTTTTTTAAGTTGTCGATAACTTAACTTTTAGTTGTCGAAAAAATAGTTGTCGACAACTAAATGTCTGGTCTGTGGAGGCCCCTAAAGGGACGAGGACCGGCCAGAGAACGACCCAATCCTGGGCCGCTTTTGTTTTTTTCCGTTCCTTTTATTTTGGCTCGTCTTGACTAACCATGCGCGAATGGAGGCTCATTGGCAGACTGGGGTCATTCTCGTTCCCAGAGCCACTCGGTTAATTTGTAACGGACGATTCAAGGCCGAGTGACCAAAAGAAACGAAGGGACTGGGGTGGAACAATGGCTTACAGAGACGAGAAGTCGTTTCTTCATGTTGCCATGGCAGCAAAATTTCTGGATCTTAATAAACCGTGTTCCGGCAAATATGGCAGAAAAGACTAAAAAATTGACATGTTTGTCTTTCGTGTGCATGATTGCACTCAGGTAGCCTGTACACTGACGTTGTTTTATTTTTCTTTTCGTTCTTTGCGAAATTTTGGCACCATGAAAAGGTGGCGTCACACTTCTCCAATCTCCACGATTTTCAGGAGTTAATGATGATTTGGTCCTCAGTGAAAACGATGAAAAAAGACGCAATGAAAAAAGACCGACCACGTTTTTACGTCGATTGACCGTGACTGATGGCAGACGTCTTTTGGTTCGTCACACACTCCTATGTTGGAAAGAATTGTTGCCTGCTGACAATAATATCCGGCTAAAATGAGGTCGTTGGACAATTTCAAATAGCGGTCTTTGTAAATACTTAGAATAAACAAAAGACCACTTATGTATAAAAAAAAGTTTACAAAAACAACCACAACAATAATCAACAGCTTAGGGAAAGTTCATTTAATATGACAAGGGGCGGGGGGATGAAGATACTGAAACTCGAAGCTTGAAATTTTAGCAGCCCCCCTCGCTAGCGGTTCAATTTTTTAGGAGCCCCCTCCTTGGTAGTCGAAAAAATTTCAGAGCCCCCCCCCCC